ATTCACTGAACCGCGGAAATGCTCCAGCTGTCTTCTATCATGCGCCAACCAAGTCCAGCGGCAAAAGTCTTCACTGCAATACAATTATCCGCTCCCAAACAAATTCCGGTATCTACACTGCAACTCACTGACACAATACAAAATTTACTGAAATATTGTGATACCAAAAAAATGTGGTAGATTCGTAGTAAACTGAACAACATTGATGGTTAGAGTATCAATTTGACAGAGGATTTATTCGAATACAACCGATTACGCAGGGTCGATGTATAGACCCAGCCTGAATGGGAAGTGGCGAAGTGTGTTGATAGATAACCATGTGAGAAATATATATCAGCAGGACATAGGCAGTTCATCAACACATGAATCCAACCGGGAGAAGGGCACTGCACTCAGCATAACAGAATCTGCATGGTCATAAGGGACTCTGGAGGTTTCAAGATGGTAACAGTTGAAGCACTGCGCCGTAGTTTAGAATGGGCTCACGGTTCGAGGATAAGGGGTTTCCATGGAAAATTTGAGGGAGACCATAGAGCTACTAAACACGGATAGAGTGAGGACGTTGACTTACAGGAGTTACTGAGTACAGACTTTCGGCAAAATGAGTGAAACAGTGTATAGTGTATTCACGGATAGAGAGTCTAGTGGAAATGGATTGCCATCTATGAAATGAATGCTTAATGATGAGCAAAACAATGAAATTGTTTCTGATGCAGTGGTTCAATATACTCTCAGGTGAAGTAGGTGGGCAAAGTTATTGCTGGCCTTTAGCAGGACTAAGGAGAAATCGACCAACAACTTACCAAAATATTGAGCGGAACTGCAGTCCACAAATACACTTCTAGTATAGTGTTGCTTACAAAATGTTCAATCGTTTTAGCTCTTATTTTACTTGTGGTTCACTGTTTATTTGCGCCCAATCATAAGTTCGCATTGAATGTTTGCACAGATCTGCTGCCTCTCACATCTTACTGATGAGTTAGATTACCATCTCCCAACCACGTGAAACATTCTTTCCAGATTGTCTATTGGTTCATATTCTACTGTAAGACCGTGCAATTAAGTCATTCTCTAATGAATTGTTGCTCAGCGCACATGACGATTTTTGGGAAAGTCTCCAATGCGATGCTCCATGGTGTCTATCTGTCTGGATGAAAGTATGCGTGTTTATAGCGAAGATAAAAAATGCGACGGCCGGGCCAATTTGTTTTTAATGCAGATTACTTCAGAATTTTATTGCAGGCTTCACATTATTGCTTTTTCATTACTGTCATAAAAGCTCGCCGGATGAGGGAGTTATAATGGAAATGATCAACTTTTTCACGTTCTTGGTAATATGCGATTCAAGTCAAAAGGTACAAAATCTGCTGTTGAAAGCCAGTTCACACTAGAATTATTATTATCACTATTATCTTATTTACTAGCATCAAAAGTGTCATTCAGATCTTGTTCTCAGTTGGGCCTTCCAGAGAACAGTGAGTGCCAATCCAATGATACGGTCTAAGTATCCATTTATGAATCAACTGTCACGCGAGCACTGGTTTTGGTGGCCTCTTTTGACACATTGTAGAAAGAAGAGATGCAATCTCTCAGCTTTCGGCATACGTCTGAACGACTTGGTTTACGTGACGGAATAAACAACATTGTTGATGCAGCAAACATCACGTGCAACAGGCCAGTGTTGCCTTGGCATTTAACTCGTAAATATCGCCATCACAGCAGTCCATGTCATACGGTGTTGAGATAAACAATTACGATCAGCGAGGAGATGAAGGAAAGAGCTCTGAAGACCAACCATCGTAATTGTTTCAACGCGTTGACGGTTTGCGCGGTAATCATGGATAGTATGCCAATTCAGAAGAATGATTTTGGATACATGGAGATATCATTCCGACAGATACTTCTGCGTCAATCTTATACAATTATACCCACACACTTTATTCACTGCTTAAGATGATTGAAAGCGCGCCATCTTAAGAGAAAAATGCATCGAGTGACATTGCGGAAGGTTATGCTCCAGCACTGAAAAGAACTCGGCCAAAATACACATTTTTCTAATTCTCAGGGCAGGAGAAAATTCCGTAACTGACTTTCCAATTGAATTGAGAGAAATACACATATCTGCCCCGAGTGAAAAGATTAATGGGCATATGGTGTTAGACATACAAAACTCCAAGACCAGTAAGTAGTGAAACTATCACTCCGGGAAACAAATTTGTAGTCCGCTCACTATTTCCTCAAAAAACGTCTAAAATTGAGGAAGACATCAAACAATTCAGGTCCTTACCAGGTAATCCAAATCTGCCTGAAGTAACCTTTTGTTCCGTTGGGGTCAACTTGTTCTGCAGAATGACGTGGAAAGAAGATTAAGCACCTACTATACGGCTTATACTTATGATAATGTTACACAATTATCAAACGGGACGCGCCCATTCCAGGGTGTATGGAGGTCTCCTGTAGTCTCTCTATAAGGGGTGGTGTGGTCCGACATCAGGATTCGAGCATTACTCCGTATGCATTGGTTAACAGTTCCAGATTCACTGAGACTTTAAAAAAGGTCGTGGAGCGGTAGGCACCATTTTCCATTTGTTTGGCGCTGATAGGTACTTCGGTTTTGGAAACGGACATGCCTTCTCTAGTTTGTAACAATTTTCAGTTGACAGTTTGTTTTCCCTGTATATCTGATTGTAGCATTTCAAAACGTAACTGTGTGTACGTAGTCAGTTTGATTTGTTCAAGTAATTGTTGGGTTGTATCAAGTATCCATTATTAGTACAATCATTTTGAGAACTGCATGCGTGTCAAATTCTGAGGAAACCGCACAAAGAAAATGGACAATTTGGGAAATTCTCGAACCTGGATTTTCCGCACACGCTCCTAATAAAATATCTTGAGTGTTACAGACTTGATATGAATAATCCTCCATAAATCTTAAATTTTCAGCAGAACGCACTACAACAGCCCTGCTGCTCTTCGTTTTCTGTCCAATAATGGTACGAAGAGAAACCAATATGCTGTCCAGAATATGTCGCTTACGATATGAATTCACCTGATAACCTTTTTGTTTAGATCAGCACTTCGCATACTCAAGATCATGTGTAGAGCATATGTTACAAAGCGAGCTTTTGAAATGTTAACTGAAAATCCTTGTCTCAATCTTATCGCAACAGACTCATTCGGTCCAGTGGTTTGCTACGCCAAGCAATGTCGAAACTCAAAACTCTCCCCCAGAAATTCCACGAAGAGACGTCACCAGTCCAAATAACCCACGATAGCATTTTCCCGGAAAATACAAACCATCTTGCTTTATAAAGGCAAACCATCCCATTATTTTACGTTGTTTTCTGTTTAGGGTTTTTGGGGAACAACTGACAAGGGTTCTTACTCGTTTCTTAAACAGGCAGTTGTGGCACACCACACTTTCACAAATTCTGCACTGCTGCGACGGTGTAAAACTTATCGAAAATCAGAACACCTTACAGGGATCAATTAAAATTCATTGAAAACATTCTTTTTCCAGCTGACCAGACAGTAAAATCAGGTGACCCAAATGTATCATATTGCGCATGGTGAGGTTTTGCAATGAATGATCGGCAGTTCTACAGGAACCCTGGCTCACTTCAATTAGTTAGTTCTATCAATGACCCCGACGATTTTCATTGAAGGCAAACTGTGGAAGTTACAGCATCCATTTATCTGCCGTGGTTAAATTCAGTACGAAAGATGTACCCATGGAGAAAAGTAGTATTTAAATTAAAGTTAGTCTTTTTCCCATTTCTGGTCGTTCGTCTGTAAAGACTTCCTTTGGATCATATAATGTCGTCAAATTTTGAAACAAAATTTCATTCGTCCAAAGTAAATATATAAAATCCTTTGTCTTTTTTTCAATGTCATGGTGTTTTTGCCATCTTCCACCTTCTGTGTTGCTTTCAGATGACATGCTTCAGTGCGCACCTGTAATTATTGTAGAATAAAAAGGATTGTTCACATCTATCAGTTTTGCTTTGAACTTATTCACTTTTGCGGAGGGTGTGAATTTTTAGCCCCGATTTGCTCGGAAATGATCTGAAGTTAGCCCCACCGTTTTCCCGGTCTACTTTTTCCCGAGCATATTAGAGTTCCGCTCATTACAGTAAAGCTTCAAGCTGCATGCTTACGAGCGCATTTGGCTATGGTGCTGCAGAATTTAGTAAATTTGGTCATGAGATATCAAATCAAACAGAAACCGCCCTCGGAGATTTGTTGGCTTCCTCCACAGACGCAGTAGAGGTGAAGATTTCAAGATACGACTGAGATAATTGCGTTAGATTGCCTATGTGTCATAAAACCTCATTAAGGGTTTCCCTTGCATTTTCACGCCAAATAGGATGCAAACGGTTGAAGTCCCGAAATGTATGGGCTTAAGTTTCAGTACCGGGAATTTATGTTACTTTGGTCGATTTGAGGAGCGCAAATAGACCAACACAATTGCAAGGTGGTCATTTTAAACCCTATCTGTAATAGACGTGCGAAAGGCAGCAAGACATGACAGAAATTGCATAAACAGGTCCAAATGACTCATTAGTTATTTAGTCGAAGGACTTCAACGACAAACGATCAGCCGCAATTTTTGACGTCCCCCCGGTTTAGCCGGAAGCATTGCTTTTTTGTAAAGCACTTCTAAGGTGTAGAAGAATACTGTGAAAAATGCGGGATAAACAAATGCGTTCTAGGTTGCTTAACACTAGTTATATTATAGAAATATCAATAACTGTGGACTGCATATCTTTTCAAAATTTGTAGACACCATTAAATTCAACATATCTCAAACAGTTACCCACGGTGTGTTCTCGCATCTGGTTTGTTGTGGATAAAAGTAATTGCTCCAAAATTTTCCGCCACACGGAGATTCTTACATTTATATGTGTTGTGATTAAAACTGAAAGACTTGGTACACCTGTCTTTGAATCTCAACGGGGCACTGTACGTTGATACGCATACAAATATGGTAAAATAGCGATCTATTTTTTAGATTCAGATGAATGTGTTGCATGATTCCAGGTTTTCCGTCGAAATATGCAAAATAAATGATTGAATCCTCGTCGAATATCACGAAGGGAATAGGCATAGATAAATGGGTTAATACTGGAGTTTACGTAACCAAGCCACGTGAGAAGTGGGAACAAAATAGATTCATGTGACTGAGTCCAAGATGGTTGGATGCTTTTAAGTGTATTATACACAAAAAACGGCAGCCAGCAAACGATGAACACACCCATAATAATACCCAAAGTCTTGGCTGCACGCTTCTCCTGCAGAAAACGATTGATACGTTTTTTGAAGCTAAACAACCTGGGTCTCCTATCACTGTGCAAGATTTCATCGTCACTGCAGTCTTCAGGATTGAGACTACCGCGGCATCGAAACACAAAGGACGCACAACCACAGCACGTTTGACAGTCACACCGACAGCCCGAACGTTTCTCCAATTTGTGGCTACTGTTCTTTAGTTTGACAAACCTGACGTGCTTCATAACAGATATTGGCCTTTCACAAGAATCAGTGCGGACCTGTGGTGAAGCCAAAGCGATTTCCTCACAAGCCGCTCTGTCCGACGAACAAACGTCGGAATAAGAGTTTGACCCCACCGGACGTGGTTCAGCAACTTCTCCGCTGGACGTTTTGGCTGCAGCGTTCGATAACCACATGCTAGTTGTGGGTTTCTTAACGGGTTTACAACTTCCACCTCGATGAACGCGGATAATCAAATCACCATTATTGAGTATTTTTACCCCACGTTCCAGTGATTTGAGTACTTTTGTAGCCGATCTGTAGATGCGCCAGTAAACCACAATCATCACGACGAGGGGAATGTGAAAAGAGACACACGAAGATAGGAACAGATAAAGCTGGTTGTCGGGAAATACACAGTCTGTTGTTGATACCTTGGGCAAGCATTCCAGTTCCACGGCTGTAGAATTGAGGGGACTGTTCGTTGCCTTCATTTTGTCACTAAGCGAAGCTCTCCACCAGACAATGGCTGGGAACGAGATAAGTGCAGAACAGATCCATGCACTGGCGATCATGATGATTGATCGTGAATGGGTCACCCTTGTCTGGTAGCTAACAGGATCGGAGACTGCAATATATCGCTCTACAGAAATAACACATAGATTGAGTATAGATGCGGTGCAGCTCAACACATCGAAAGCATGCCATGTGTCACACCATCCTTGGCCATAAGGCCACAGTTCGAAAGTTGAATCATGGTTCATATTTTGAGTGTATTCGTCCACATAACGCTGCCGCCAATATTCCACGATTGAGAAGGGCATAACCACCGTACCCAAAAGTAGGTCTGCGGCGGCTAGGGAGAAAATAAAACAATTTGTCACACTTTGTCGCAGGCGCGGCTCAAGGAGAATCGCTATCATAACCAATAGATTTCCGCCGATTGTTACACTGGTTAAGACACTCAACACAGCCACAACAATTTTATGCGTGAGACCTAATTCCAAAAGTGGGTTCATCGCTTCACATTTGACTGCAACGTATTTTCATGGTCAATGTGAACGAAACGCGCACAACCACCTCAGATAACCGCCTGAACGAGACCAGACGCATGGATAAAACTTACCTCTCCGTAAAATATAATTGGTCAGGGTAACTACCCAATAAAAATTTAGCTCCTAATATCGCGGCCAATAACTGAATGGTTCGTGTGGAAATCTACGCATAATTGATTGTAGTGAAATTCGGCTGAAATTTGTACCTATTGGTACATTTGATTCCTTCGACAAAGAGTGATTCGGTGTGCAGTTGAGAATCAAAATATGCTCACGTTATTAGAGCACTTTTGCGAAAGTGTCAGTAGTTGAAGCACAATTGTTTTTTTTAAAAGCTGAATTTGAAAAACACCGTGACATGTGAGTGTATACTTTGCAAATCGCAAATTTAGTAAACATTTGCAATGTTTGGCGAGGCATAAAACAAGTGAAGGTACCTTTACACATCAAAAGCTAATACCTATTTGTCGTATTTTTTGGTGCGTGAACATTTCTTAGCCTTCAAAATGTCCAAAAGAAACATTGTTTACATCGCCGTTTTCTTTATGCATGGATTGATTCTGTCAATAACACGATTCCTTCGACCGGAAGCAGGGTTGCGTGCATTCAAAAGTGATCCAAATGATCCCATTGATTAAAATTTTGTTTTTTCTTAATGAAGCGATAAAACCGTACCTTAATGCTCTCTTATGAATAATGAATCTTTCAGAGAAGGGATTAACTAGCTCTTGATTGTTGGTTTCAGAGATTAATAAATGTGCCTGTTTTATGGTGTGACGCACCGATGCTTTCACCACCATTCACCACCATTCCTGCATGTTTACTTTTTTTGAATATTTCTTAAGAGCAAATGCTACTGCATAACAGGAATGTGGAATCTCAAATACCATCGACTTTTATTTGGGAAGGACCCCATCATTCACAGAATCATTTGCTTGCATGGACCTCTCTTTCGAAGTGTTAGAATCGGCGAGCGTTTTAGATGAGTATCAGCTTGGGGTCGACTGATTGATCACTGCAGTGGAAATCCATTACTGCCATTGCCAATCAAACCGTCACGAAGAGACTGGACTTTTGAGCCAAAGGCTCGGGTTGAGGACCCTAATCGTTCTCCTATCTAAGTGTGAGCGCCCTGGCAGTGTCCCAGACTACGTACAACCAGGAACTGCACATTCATAGCTGTACGGCAGTGAAGCATCGGTATTGAATACTGATACCATGTTGTCGATGATGATGATGATTGACGATCAAAAAATTGTACGAAATATTTAATATTATTTGTTAACTAACCAAACAACGGATTAATAAGGCTCTCAACAAATAATATAAACGTGCCATTGGTGATATACTCGCTGCTGGAATGAGATGCTGCGTGACCTTATTGCATCAGTAGTTCTCAGCGAAACCGATAAGGGTGGAAAGCGTTTGGTGTTTGATTAGCCGAACAATCACCGTTTAAGGCTTTTGATGTTTTCTCAAAATCGTCTAGACAAAAAGATTCTGCCTTCGTTTTATGGAAATTGTAGACGAAGAACCCAAAACACTTACTGTTTAAAGTGGTCAGAAGCTATTTGTGAAAGAAATTAGGGAGCAAAATTTCGGATCGGTTTGACTAATTTGCATGACTAGCAGACAGGGTCTCTGAAAAGAACCGCAAAAATTGCCGGAATTTTGGCGCGATAAGTGCCCAAATATGCGGAAAAAACATTATAAGCTGTTAAAGTATAGAGAGACCGAATAGTTATTTGCACTCACAGTGTCAAGAATGGCACTTTGGTAAAACCCTGAATTTCACATTGGTTTCACCTAGCCAAATCACATCACTTCATTCATCCACGTTGCCCGTTTCTGACTTTTACACAGTTTTAGATTGTCCACTAATTAACCGGAGGGCTAAGGTCTTTAGCAGAGCAAATGAATAGCTCTCGTATAAACGGCTAGAAACTTTTTCAGACACATTATCTTTGTTTGACAGATGATCTGAGATACTCCAGAAAAAAAGCAATATCTGATAGTGCAAAACAATTCGGTAAGGAACCAAATATGAATAGATCACAGGATCGTTGGCAAGTTCATTGGGAAACAAACGTGTATTAAAAAATAATTTTAATGTGGCATAAAGATTATCTGAAAGTGAATTCATATTTCCCCGGTATTTTATCATCAATTTTTAATAAAATGGCTACATTAAACACCAACTACTTATCAAACACCCAAATTCTTACCTGTTAAATATATGGTTGTTTTGAGGAAAAAAACTAGTTCAAGAAGTTGAAGCTCATAACACAAAACAAACCCCCCAGCAAATAAACCAAATCGATCAGTAACCCATTCGTCACTGAACAGATCCGAACCACTTAAAAATACTTGGAGCAGTACAGGTCGAATATCATTTTGCGCAAGAAGCGCGAACAGATCGTTTGTTTTTGGCAAGATTTTAGAACCCAAGGGTATTCAGGACAACAGGTATATCAATATTCGTCAAACAACCGGTTGCAATCCGAGGTTGGTTTCATACAGCTATTTTTACGGAGTCACTTCCGTCAGTTCAAATTTTTTTTGCGCCTATTAAATCATTAAAAATGAATTACTGGCACCATTTAAAACTTAACCAAATGTTTTTTTATTTGTTTCAGCTGCCTTAAAAAGAACTACGGAATTTTGTCCGCCTTCCTCAATTATACTCCTAAATGTGGACAGAGTCAACGTGAATCTGAAAGCAACGAAAAATTGAAGAAAACACATGCGACATTAATAAAAGTCTTCGTGAATCGTTATTTCGTATTTTCAAACAAATCTTAATTTTACCAAGGAAGATTAACCCGAGTGTCACATTTGAACCTTACTAACAAAAAATGAAGTACCCAATCAATTAGGTGAGTTCAACCCCTGATAAATACTACATGAGTGATTACGAATTATCGGTCAGCTACGATGCCAATTGTGTATGATATCCCTTTTAGATGCGGAAACGCACAAGCTCTGAGTGTGATTAGGTGCGCACCTAGGTGTATTCAGTATGTCTGCACTACAATTTAAAGTGTTAAAGAACAGTTTTTCTAGGTTTCTTCAACTGCGCCAAATCGGTTCTAGAGAGGCCAAAGATGACTGAATTGTTTTGGCTTGAAGATAACGAACGTTTCATGGCTTGACCTTAACCTTGGGATTTGTACTCTTATTGTCTAGGCTTTGAAATTTGGTATTATCTTGGTCCCGTGCCGCTTTCGAATGGACTAGCAGCTCGGCGCCAATTTTGCGTTGCAGCTAAAAGCGGTTTAAAGGACACTAGAGATGGGAATAGGTAATATTTGGATCTATTTATATATGCGATTAGCAATAAAAAACCGTCTAGGAAGTTCACAGAATCTGGAAAAAGCAAAACGATTCGCCCCAAGTAAAACTTTCAAACACCCAAGCTACGCTCGCAGGCTAGGAAATACTTGCGGCTACCAATACAAAAATGATACTCCATACTTTCACGTAAAAAACAACGACAAGTAATCCTGCACGTTGTATCCATTTTCTGCAAATAATAGACTGGTACATGTAAGTCTTTGCTGTATGCATCCCCTATTACTTGACAAATAATAATTTTTCGGCAGTAACCATTGTTTGACTTACACTTACAAACCTTACTGCACCTGATCTGATTTACTTTCAGTGTCACTGACTGGATGTAAAGGTGACCCGCTCAAAAACAAAACCTAGCAAATTATTTTGCCTAAAAATTCGGTAGTATCTCGGTTTTACCAAATTCTCAAGTGTTTGTTTTAACATATTTTTATTCGTGGGACAGAATTATCTTGAACACTTTCTGTTCCGAGGTGTCCAAATTATGATAGACCTCAACGAATTTTGTAAGCTTTTCCAAATTTGTTAACATTATGTAGTGCACATGTATTTTATGCACCTAGATTTCGTGTTGTTGGAAACGTTCTTACATTTTTGTGGTTTTGCCGCCACTAATGTTTCGGTACGCTCAACAAATCATTCCATACCATCAGAAACCACAAACTGTAGAGAATTCATTAAGTTTTGTTGGTATATTATAAACCTAAAAATTTCACATGTACATATGGACACCTGAGTAACATTCAACAATAATTCATGGCACGTGGGTCATCATAATTCAGTTAAATGTAATTTTATCCAGGTAGTTAGAACCACTAAAACCTGCCTACTTTGCAACCACATTTGGTTGATTGTTTGTGAGTTTGCCCCTAGAACATCTTCGGAATCCTACACAGGATGATGAAACATGCAGATTATAGGCTTTGACGTCAAGTACTGTTCTTCATCAAGTACAAATAAGCACGGCAAGCTGCTACTTGAAAACAATCCGTGATCCCCCCTAAACTGTCAGTAAAACTTCTACATCAAGTGCAATGCTATGGTAAGTGTTTGGTGAGGTAACTTAGAGCAAAAAAAATCATCCAGTTTGCGGCTGAGTTTGTGGCTGCTTTTAGTCAAGCCTTAGACTGACAATTTGATTGTGAACGCATTTTCGCCCAATGAAAAAATGTTTCCTCCTAGTCAGGCCGCAATTTCTTTCTGTTTTATCGAAATGACTGATGTGCTGTAAATCGGCTGATACAGAATCATTGCACCCATGAAATACGTGGCAAAGACATTATCAGATTCTCTGTGTAACCAAAGTCGGTAATTCACCATTTATTGAAATCGCTCAATAATTTTAACTACTATTCTGGGGTTGTTTTGGTTTATCCATTGTAGACTCACAAAGTGGTTTGAATTAAACGTTCACGTACCTCCGTTTATATTTGAAAAAAATTTCAGAATGAATTGGTTGATGATCTCACGGTTCAACGTTGGCATAATTTATTTGATCTTTTTTCGAAAATTGCAAAGTTTAATGACGGTATCGATGGGGTATGTCTCATAGTTCTGTCCAATGTGTATTCAAAAAACCTTCTGAAATAACTGGCCAAGTGTGGAACTGGTCG